ATGTTGGAGGCGAGGGAGAATGATAGGTTGGCAGAGCTGCGGGCGCCTGGATTAGCGGCCGCTGATGCGGCGTGGGGCTCGGCTTAGTGAGACGACATCCTAAGCCGTCATAATTGACGTCTAGGTCAACGTAGCGGTTGATGCTGTCCGCGTTAGAGTGCCATGCCTCTAGGAATTCTCTCGCCCGTTTTGTGTTGACCGTGGCGATGACCTCGGTGTTATCCCAATTAAAACGGTGGTCGCACAGGAGTGCGTGTGCAAAGACGAGGGACAGTGGGTCACGGCGACGGATGAAAAGTTTGTGTTCATTAATTCGAGTTCCCAGGCGTCGTCCTGTATGACCAACATATACGCTGGGACACTTGGCACACGGGATGCGATAGATGACGTTAGTCTGTTCCTCTTTGGGGATAGAATCTGTTACTCGAGTTAAGACTGTGCGCAGCGAGGCTGCAGGCTTGTGGGGAACGCGGATACCGAACTGATTTAGCTGACGGGCGGTCAGTTCTGAGGTCCCCTGCATGTAGGGCAGGGAGAAGAATTTCTGGGTCGCGATTTTTCCATCCGTGAAGGGGCCTCGAGGTTGTGCCTGAAGCCTGAGGCAGTTCTTCACAAAACTGATCGGGTATCCGTTAGATCGAAATAAGCGATATAGATAACCTAGTTCTTTTTTCAGCAGATCGCCATTGCTGCAATAAAGGTAGGCCCGGTGGAAGAGAGTTCGGACGCAGCTTCTTCTATGAGCCGCAGGGTGATTACTTCCATAATTGAGGATGATCTCGGAATCAGACCCTTTTCTATGGACGCTGGTTGCGAGATTACCGTCGTCCAGCCTTTGTATTTTTACGTCCAGAAATGACAGGCTGTCTCCTACTGCCTCTTCGCGGGTAAATTGTATGGCTGGAAAGACATTATTCAGCCTCTGATGCAACCTTTCGACTTTACTCTCCCTGCCCGCCTCCCTCCTCACACGCTAATGGTCCGCCCTTCAATGTTTGTCCTGTCGCGTCTACTAGCCTAGTGTGACTGTCCTACTCTCTCTCATCTTCATTTCGTCTGACGACGGGTTGGCGTCACCAATTCGACAATTCACGAGTACAACACCAATCACGGGCCTGCTTATAGATGTAAAGCTGCGTTCTCAGCACTCTTTTTAAAAAAGGCACAGTGAGTTCTGTCGCCAGGACTCATTATACTCGACCTTCGGGGATCCAAGACGTGGGACATTTGCGAAATAGTGATGAGTTAACACCTCTGCTACTTCCTCATTGCGTGTTTTCCGCGTACACCTCCTGACTGGGACCGGGATGGCACTATCTGGACTGTGAAAATCAAACGCCTGGTAGGCAGAAGGCAGATCGATTTGCTGATCTGTGGAGTTGCTGCTGGAGGTCTATGCCCCAGGCACCTCTGCACCTGTCATCCCGCTGACCCTTTGCTATTGCCTCTGGCTCCGCGAAACCGAACTCGATAGCTTGCCACCAGGATGTGTTCACAACGTACCTCCCTAAGTCTAGTCTTCTGACCCGTGTGATTTTGGGGGGGGGGGTGGGGGCTGTTGTGATACCAGTTTTCCCACGTGTGATCACTTGATTTTTTTCTGGAGCGCATGACTGTTGCTGCCCTCTACTGGCTCCGGCAAATAGACGGCGCGGACTCCAAGCTTTATGCCTCGCCTCACCCAGGCCGTTGAAATATCTTAGTCAGTGCCAAAACTTGGGTGGGTCTCCCTCGTTGGACCTTTGGAGTACGGACTGAGACATCGTTTTATGCGGATTTTAGGGTAACTGTTACTTTCAGCTTACTTACGACGGCGCCTGACTTCTTGTGCTCTTTCCCCGAGGGTCGCTGCAATTTATTCCCAGCTTCAGAATGTAGCCGTGAATAATCTTTAGTTCTGCGTCACCGAGTCATTGCTGAGATAGCTCACCGTGTGTGTTTGTGTATGCACGTCGTGTTGGCGGCATTCCCTGGTACTGCGCTGCCGATTCCGGCATTCCGTACGCGAGTTGAGTAAACGTCGGGAGGCCATCTGCTGTTCCTCCTCGTCTTTTGGACGACTACGACGACGGGCATCCTGCGCTAAGACACACTTCACAGTAGATTGGCAAGTGTTCTGACGCCTGCTTGGCTGAATCCTGAGACCTGATGACGTTTGGGTATATGTATGGCTATGTTCATCTGCCAGGAAGCCAAAATAACAATTGTTAGATCTACGACATTGTCTTGCACCAAAAACTACTTTTTAATCAAACATTATTTCCTACAATGGAGGCTACATCTCCAGTCGAAATCTTACCAAGATTGCGGTTTTGTCGTCCCAACTTGCCAGCAAGACTGATTGCACAAGTAGTTGCAGAACTCATCTATCCACAAGTCGTCTTGTGTACACGGAACTACGACTCTTAACCGACTATTGTCATGGTTTTGGAAGCTGGCTTACAGATCATTATTCCACTGTACTTGCTGGCCTTCTTAGTTTAAGAAAATGTCTGTGGCAACTGGGACAAAGCCTTCCCTGGTTTTTTGCATCCGCTTTTCATTTTGTTACTCAGAATTTTTTGAAAAGACCGTTTAGGTTTCAAAGCTATTCAGTCGTGTCACATGTCCAAATGCATTATGTTGAGTCCTCCATACTCTCGTTCTGGTCCTTTAGAAACCATTCTGTGGTCACTTGCTCAGCCATCGGTCACAACATAGATCTTTAAACCCAACATTTCCAATTTAGCTTTCTCTCATATCTCATGTTACCTTACCTGCGCTTCCACCAATTGACATTTAATCATTTTCTGCCTGCCTGTTTGGAACTCTCGCCTCAGTGCCCACCCTCTCTTGTAGGCCTCCACCTCCAATGGCTTTCGGAGGACGATATGCTGCAATGGCGCTTCGAACGTGTCTTTGAACTCTTTCAACATCCCAAATGGAATAAGCAGCTCACGTACATACTCCTTGACAACCTTCTTTTAGAATTGTTTCCTGACGTATTTTCACGCAGTGACCTAACTCAGTGATCAGATATTATAAGTGCAGATTATTTTTATCTTTAATTTTTGGCATTCCGAGTGATTGATTTCAGAGTAAAGTTTTTGCTAACACCCTGCTTCCCGTCTATTGGATTTTTATCCTCTTTCCCTCGTCCCATCAGTCCGTCCCTTTTTGTCTCTTGTGATTTATTATGAAGACAAAGCACTGCTTCTAAATCGTCAGTAGCACTTTTTGCTTCATCTTTTTCCTATACCCTTTCTCTTGCTGAAAGGTTCGTCGAGCCCCACGTCGACGTCAGTTTTTGGGTTTTTGGCTTGGTGTTTCAGCCCCAAAAACTACAATCTCTTGCCACTTAATGAGGATCCGAGCGTTTTTTGCACAAATTGTTTGGGCCAACAAGTTTTTGAACTGTAAGAAATGCCAGCGAGGGTTTAGAGATTGGGATGATCAGCCAGTCATGCCCAGGTTAAAGTCTAAATGCTCTGCGATTCGAACCTGATATCCTTGGTCCAACGTCCCCCTCACCCATTGAGTCGCGCGTCCGTTGTCTGGTCGGTTACGACCGAAAATGCTAAATATGGCCGAGAGGATGCTCACCGATCGGTCACGAGAGCATGTCTTTACCTTGGAACTCAATCTAGAACCCTCACAGACAGTCATTAATTATGAAAAAAGAAGAGGTTCTTCGGAAAAAATCGAGTTGTACTCAATTGGGTGGAGATTGGACACGAGGGCTGACAAGGCTGCAACATGCTTACTAGTCATTTGCTGTTATTCGTAATTGGGTTGGCGAATATAATTTACAGTGGACATCCGCAATGAATTGGTCGTCACTACTGATTATTATGTTCACGACAGTGACGACACCGACGTGAACCGAACATGCCAAGATCTGATGCTGATCGGGCTACTGAGTCCTCCCTCCCACACAGTCATACATAAAGTATCCTTAATCCTCTTCCACAACATTCTCATATACCGTCTAACTACTAGAACCCAATAGACCACAGGATTGTTTTCAGCCAATCACCCATAGTACATCACATCGCCCCGCATATTGTCCCACCCAAGGTGCAGAGGACACTCAAAAATCACTCAGTGTAATTAAGATGACTTTACTCATATAAAATACATATGTACAGTAAAGGGAGATGACTATGGGGAAGGGGGTGGAGGCAGGGACCTATTGTCCTTCCGGTAGTCCTTCTGCGGTAACTGCGCAAGGAGGTACGCCCAGCAACGGATCACCACAACATTTTCCATATCTCCTCCCATTCGCTGACCTCGGCTCTGCACCCTCAAATTCATTCGGTTCCTCAGGTCTTGACGAATCGCATCTCATTCGACTTCCGGGCGAATGCAACTGCATAATCGGCGCAAAACTCGCCGGAAGATCTGAGGCACTCTCGACCGCCGCTAAAACAACAGATTTCGAGTTAATGAGGAGAGAAGCAATGCTTGCTCAGGCACAAGTACCCTGCTTCTCAAAACCAGCCAGATATAAATGACTTACCCGACGAGGAGTTGTCAGCGGCTCATCCCGATTATGGTTCTCACGCATGGGAACAGAGCATGTTGCCTTCGCCTTTGTGACCGAGACGACTGCCTTAAACACAGCTGTAAAATAAAATTTTTGAACCATCTGAGAGGAAGATATAGATGGTATGCTCATGACCACGAGTTTTTTTCTATTCTCATACTGCGCAGATAATCCAACATGCCACAGCTCTCAGAATTAGACAACGCGAATGACAGATATAACAGTGCGCTCTCAAAAGGACTGTGTAAACAAATTGAATAGTTCGTAGGACAGAATTGGCGACCTCATTAAAAGGGCCTGCTTACCTCGATTCCCTCGTCTCTGAATTCGCGGACAAGCTTGACATTCGGCGTAGTTCAGACAGACTTCCCTCCCGCCAATTTCACACCACTCATTTGTTGCATGTGTTAACAGTTTGGCGTTCATTTTGCGGACACCAGGAGTCAGGATCACCTCACTAAAACCAAAAGCATAGACAATGGTGGTTCAAAATTCCATGAAGTGGTTATCGGTCAATGACTGGGGTACGAAGAAATAATGTGCAGGTAGCCAGTGCTCCCTAAACTACTGCTCTTCGCAATGATAATCTAGGTCTAGTCTAGCAGATATCGACGCTAAGGGTAGAAAAGCAGGCATAGATGGACGCCAGTTCAGCAAGAATAGCAATCTGTCAGCATTCTGAGGCTGTAATCCCTCCTGACCTGCTCTAACCACGTAGGCTGCAACTGTTGGCGCATGGGAGCTTAAAACTCAACTGCAGTTGATCTCGCAGGCACCTATCACGATCGCATACAGTCACTCCTCTTGAAGGTCGCAATGGCCGGGTTGAAACTACGCCCCCTGTGTTGCCGCAGGAATTTTCAAATGTTTAATAAACGTGAATAAAAAAATTCTAATTACCTCAGTGATTCAGGTACACATTCACTTAGCTCCTCCAACGGAGACAATGCTGCCTCCCTGGCAGACCTGGAGGAGGAAGAGGAGGAGAGACTCATGTCTATTTCCGTAGACTCAGAAGGCAGGAGGTCCTCGCTCTCGAGGCTAGGCAGCCTCGCAATATCTTCAATTGTTGAAGCCTTTTCCGTGTATGACCCGATGGTGAATGTCTTTCCATCGTGGTTTGGAACCAGAGCAGCGGCGCGCTGTCTCGGTACTTGGATGTCAAAGGTCGGACCAACGGCCATCCGAAGAAGGGAGACCGTATGTCGCGGTGTGGGGACGGGCAGTGAGTGTTCAAATGAGTCCTCGTCGGATAATGGTCTCGAGGGGGCCTCTTGCGAACATATCACTTGCTTGGCGCGGATGAAGTCGGCAGTGGAGGGGAAGCCGAGGTAGTTTGAGGTGGAGGCGATCGGAGGTGGCGGCTCCGACGGAAAGGCGACGTCGGGGAAGGGGTTATAGGGGAGGCACTGGGGTGATCCGTTGCTACCTGCGTCTCCTTGCGCAGCTACCGCAGAAGCACTACCTGAAGGACATCAGAGACGCACACACGCACAAAACAAAATTAAAATCACTGAGGTGTGGTAGAGTATACTTATGAGTCACCTCACCACTTGGGTGCCTGAAGGGTGACAACACGGTCGCTTCGATTATTCTCTGTGCAAATTCGTTCTCTCTATCTGGTTTATTATTATGATAGATTCGAAGATGAAACCGGAAATCATTACGCCATTTTGATCATCTATCAAATTGGTCACTGTGTCGTCGGATTAGAACATCAAACTGCAGTTCCTCCACGACCGCATCCAGAGCATCCAGCGGGACAGATTAGACATATATCCGACTTCCAATCGGCATCTCGACCGATTAAGATAATGTCCAGCAGCTTTACGTCTAGAGCTTTGAAGCACAAGTTATGGAGCCTAGAAACTGTCAGTCAGGTGTTCAATGATAGATAGATATATAGATAGGGTGGGTGGGTGTAACCAAAGGTAGCAAGCAAGGCGTCTATTAACTGAACTCACACACTCATACCAGTAGAGGCGTCAGTCAGCGGGTGTGAAAGTTCAGATGATGATCCTACTACACAAATTCACAACTGCCGACAGTGTGTCGCACGAAAGCTTCCAACACATGAGATAATCTTGTCACACATGGCATTTCGTAAGGCACAGAGTCCTGCTGCTGTACTACAAGAGCTGTTCGACTACTGTTTTAGAGGAGATCAGTGATGAAGCTGAGATAATTGCTTACAGACCATATTCTATTAGCACACAGCCTGCTTGTATATGTGAACGTTCTAGTACAGGGCTGGCAAATGTCGGTGTAGCTGAACATGGGGTTATGGAATTATTTCCATGGGCCTCTCCTGTGATGTATTTTAATGTGGCATTATAACAAACCCCAACCAAGGGATCGGAGAAATTAGGGCCTGGAATGCTAAGTCAAGCTCGTGCCGTACATTGGCATATCAGCATCCCATATTGTCATTTCTGGCACGCTATATCTCTCTCACTCGCTCTATCTATCTGTCTATCTATATATCCTATAATTGCATAGTGGAGCTATGCATTAATCTACTCATCAACCCTAAAGACCCTCAGGAGCGCATTATAAGCATGGAATTGGCAGAACAGTTGCAGACTTACCGGGTGTACGTACAGCTTGATCTTCTTCCTCCCTAAACTTTGCTCCATACACCCTAACAAGGGGAGATTGTACATGTTCTAGCCAGGATTGCAGCAACTGCAGAAGCATATCCGAAGTCACCAACATCCTCGAGAATACTGAGGCTCTGCCCACCTTCAAAGCAAACAGCTATCGATCCGTGGGGTTTGGATCCGAACTATCGACCCGAGACCCCTCTGGTGATCGATGTACACGTGACAGCCTCAGCAACGCACACGTGCTTTGCCAACGTTGGGCGTGAAAAACTGCCCAGAGAGTGTTGATACGCCCCAATTCCTCAAAGGCAACTATCCTGTGTGATTAGGCGTATGTCAGCTTGTGTAGCAGCTGAAGTCTACACCGCAGCACCAGAATTCTGTAAGGTGGGATAGCTGGTGGACATGTGAAAATTATCTGTCTATCTGCTCGTTATGCTGCATTGTGACAGCTTCAATTCTGAGCTAGATCTGAAAGTTAGAGCTCCGATAGGTGGGCAAGGCCAGGTGATGAAACTAGGTCAGATGAAACTAGCGAAATGAAGTAGTGCCGATAAAATTTCCATGTTTGGGTCATGTAGACATCTCTTCTGAAAAGGAACAGCAAAAATGAGGTCACGAGCTGCCTGAGGTTACTTAAAAGGAACTTGTCAAGACAAGAACAGATCTAAGGGTATTAAGGTGCAGCCAGCAGCAGTAACAGGGCATACTTACTTTCTCGTCCTACGCGTTGCTGTCAAATTAGGTAAATGTTGGCTTAAACGAGTCGAGTCTCGTCATCCTGGCAGCCACAATTCTCATTAATTACAAATCGATCCTCCAAAATAAAATGTAGCAGCTTTCCAAATAAAGTCGTCTGCTAGGTTTCTATGTAGAGTAGACACAGGAAAATGAATAAATAAGCCGCCACCGTCCATCACCCCCAGCATCACTGCCACAAGACCGTAGGCGTCAACTACTAATCATCCCACCACCACCATCACGACCACCACCACTGAAAACACTCCTGACGTCCAGTCTAGTCATCGTGACCATCGCCATCCTCATCAGCACCAACACCACCACTCATACCACAAGAACTGCGGACTCAATCTCTACCTGTCCTCCGTGCGACCGCACTTTCACGTCATGTACGGTCAGGCGGGTCACGTGCAAACCCGTCGTTCTGAGACGGACGGACGGACGGACCAGTGTCAGGAGGCACAATAAGCACCCGCCACATCCCCCTAAACTGTCCGCACACTCTAGGCGTATTCAGTCACCTCATGGATCTACTCGGCCAGATGCGCCTTCATGTTGATCTGCAGTAAACCACCGCACAGACTAAACCCCATCATCGCACACACACTCTGGCCCACACTCCACACTCGAGCGCGTCTCGCATCACCTTCCCCTAGGCACAGAATAAGCACATCTTTCTTACTGAGTAGCGCAATCCTTGACTCCTCCTCCTCCTCATGCTCTAATGCACATCTCACTTGCGTGAGAGTGCCGTAGGTCACGTTAAGAAAGAGCCGCTTCAGCCTGCCTCTCAGCCCACCAGTCCGCTGTTCCATACGTACACGCACAACTGGGCAGACTGCGTGGACTGAGTTGGGGCGACGATCAGCTGCCTCCCAAGTCACAGCACTTGATGCGCCGAGATAGCCTCAGACTCTAATCACACATGCAGCAAAGTAGCAACATGGAGAAGGAGCCGAGACACACATTTGCCATTTGAGTGGGGGGATGCGGTGGCATGTTTGTGGTGGATGATGATGTTGCGTGAAGGAGGTGGGGGAAGATGGA